AGCTCAAAGTGCATCAGGATATCGGGTGTTTCAGAAGTATTGAGTAGTGAAACCTCAAGTGATGATTGGAGAGTCGAAATAGCCAATTACCTTAGAGATCTGTCTCGGAAAGTTACCAGGAAGCTAAGGTATAAATTGGCTAAGTATGTTTTGTTAGATGATTAGTTATATTATACAATAGTCGATGGGGTATTGCTCAAGTGCTTGAACCAAGAAGAAGCTAAGGTGTTGATGGGTGAGGTGCATGAAGGGATATGTGGAGCTCATCAATCGGCTTATAAGATGAAATGGATTATTCGCAGAACTGGATATTTCTGGCCAACGATACTGGAAGATTGTTTTGAATATTACAAGGGGTGTCAGGACTATCAATGTTTTGGTAATGTCCAGAGATCGTCTGCATCGGCTATGAATCCGATAATCAAACCATGGCTATTTCGGGGTTGGGGAATTGATTTAATTGGCCAGATTTTTCCGCCTTCAAGCAAAGGACATAAGTTCATATTGGTAGTAATAGATTACTTTACTAAATGGGTTGAGGCAATTCCTTTGAAAACGGTAACCTCAAAGAACATGACTGATTTTGTCGGGGAACACATTGTGTATCGTTTTGGGATTCCTCAAACTATAACCACTGATTAAGGGACAATGTTCACATCATAAGAGTTCAGAGATTTTGCTGCCAGTATGGTGATTAAGCTATTGAATTCCTCCCCTTACTATGCCTAGGCTAATGGCCAAGCAGAGGCGTCCAACCAGATTATGATTAAGCTGATCAAAAAAAAGATCGAGGAACAGCCAAGGAAGTGGCATTCGACGCTAAATGAGGCACTATGGGCATATAGGATGGTCTGCCATGGATCAATTAAGACGTCACCTTACAAGCTTGTGTATGGCCATAATGCAGTTCTTCCTTGGGAAGTTCAGACTGGATCGAGGCGTGTTACCCTGCAGAATGATTTGTCAACTGAGGTCTACAAGAATCTTATGATAGACAATTTGGAAGACTTGAGTTGCCTTCGACTGCATGCTCTTGAGAATATCAAAGCCAATAAACTAAGGGTTGCGAAATATTATAATAAAAAGGTCAAGATTAAGCAATTCTCCGAAGGAGACTTGGTTTGGAAAGTGAAATTGCCGATCGGATCAAAGGACAGTAAATTCAGCAAATGGTCACCTAACTGGGAGGGACCCTATCGGATCAAACGTTGTGCGCCTGATAATGCTTATATTTTGGAAACATTAAAAGGAGAAGAAGAATTTGGCCAAGCAATCAACAGGAAATATTTAAAGAAATATTATCCTAGCGTTTGGATCAATACTTAATAAATGATCTGTTTGGCCAATAGCTTTAATAACTCATATTGAAAAAATATCGTCTCCAGTGCAAAAGATGAACCCAAAGAAGTAAAAGCCGATACGGTGTATATCGCCTATAGAAGCAAAGCAAACACAAACAGAATGATGGGTATAAAGCACGAAACAATGGGAAACCACTCAAGGCGAGGAAGTTATTTGCTAAACATCCCATATTACAAGCTACGGGCCAGAAAACACTTTTCCTACTATATCGTCGGCCAGAGTATTGAAAGCTACAGAGTTGGCGGCGTTCATAAAATCTTCAACCAAGCGCTCATGCTCCCCAGGGTGCACTGCATCTGAAAAACAATGGGGAAGAAGCCAAAGATTATGGCCCGAATGGGCTTGTGCAGCAGCTAGCGCCATGGCAGCGCCATGACGAATGCCATGAAGGGCGACCTCCCTGACACGATTCGGGATGTCATGCAAGCGAACCACCGGAACGGCGCCCCTAGCATTAACAAATCCCGCCGCATGATCCGCAGCTGATCGAAGACTCTCCAACTGAGCAGTTAGATCTAAGAGATTCAAGGAAAGAGTGATTAGAGATCTTGAGAGTAAAATCAAGAAAAAACAGAGAAATAATGATAGACATCTCACCCATGATTCTAGCTTCAGCCCTGGCCAACCTTTCCCTCACCAGGCTGACCTCGGGGGGAGATCGATCTTTGATCATGGCCAAAGCCGATTCCGCTAGGGAGAGGTAGTTGGCTAGATGCTTGTCGGTCCGATCGATGGAGGCCAGCAGATCGTCATTACTGATTTGTCGCCTCAGGTGACAGGGAAGCTGGCGGTGGATTGGTGCCAAAGATGACCCCGAGGGCTGGGCGGAGTTGGCCCTTTGATCCGAAGCGATGGGAGCACCCCAAGATGCGTCCTCTTGACGACGAGGGCGTTGGCGTGATGATGTGGATCTATTGAGGGCTTCTTCAGCAGACCTCTTGTTGTTCTCCATGACCTCAAACCTACGAAAAAGGCAAAAGATGTACTGAAGACGAAGAGGGGTTGAGACGAAGAGGGTTGTTTTTTGATTCACAGTCATAGCCCGTATATATAGCCTGGGAAAGCAAGAAGATAGATTTCGATGGAGGTGTGAAATTGAAATCGGAAACGGAAACGGATCAACACTCCAGAAATTCAGGGGACGGATAACGAAGAGATAGCAGACTCAAATTTATTGCTCCCCCTGATTACAAAATATCGTGGGGTGGATACATTGACAAGAGATTAACCCACCAGAACTTCTTTGGATTGAAGGGAGTCCAGATTTCCACAAGGCCGAAACTCATTGTGAACCAAGTCGCATCGGCCCATCAATAAATTATACCAGAGAAAAAGAAAGTTCGCCCGCCTAACATATGCTCAACAGATTTCTCGATAAATTGAGGAACTATGGGAAAGAAACCTGAGGCTTTTCCGATGGGCGTTTGGAGGACCAACAAGGGGAAGGTGATCACACCTTCTAGCCCTCGCAAACACTAGAACAGCCTTGTGAGCATGGAGAGAAGACTCAGGTGATATCACAAGAATTCTTCTAACCGCAATGGCTAGTCTTCTTGCCCAACGAGGCGCTAGAATAAGTGACACAATCACCCTATGCACAAGGATTCTTCTAGCCGCTTGAAATCTTCATAAGATAGACCATGGAGGGTCCAGCGGAACCGGAAGCACTTGAGGGAGCAGATGGGAGAAAAATATGGCTGAATCGTTGAGTTGCTCTCGCCAGGGTCGAACAGGCATGTTATAGCCGGCCCGGAAAGATGAATCCAAGCGTCCGTGAAGCAATGACACTCTTGTAAAAAGTTTTGAGGCGTAGGCTCATGAGTTGACGCAAGTGGCAACGAACAGTGGATCCCAGATCAAGGTTCTATACCCGTGACTGTGGACCAATCAGGGATACATACATGATAATTTTGGAATAAAATTACCTTTATTCTAAAATTAGGGGACATGTGTTTACACCAAAATTTGGAAGAAGAGTTGCAGGGACTGGAAAGCTTCCGAGATCGTGTTATCAAGAAATCAATTACGTGCAGATCAGAACCAGCTGATTCGGATGCAAAAACTAGAATCGGCTTTCTTCATATAGCGCCAGCGGATAACGACAAAGGCTACGTTCGGCATCAGGACGAAACATGCTGGACTCTATAAAAGGGAAAGATTAGAGTCTAAGCTATCTTAAAATTAGAAATGTTTTCTTTAGGGTCAAAAATTGTGATGAGTCATGCTTAGACAGGAGTCATGCACAAGTCCTGGGTATAAATATCAAGCCCCGGCTATTGTAAAAGGACATCAATTAATCCAAATACAAGTCAATTATTTTTTCGGCTTCGGCCACCCCTTAGGAGTAGGAGTAGAGTAGATCTCGGCGAGTTCTTCAGCGAGTACGGCTGCATCGATCTGGTCGACCTCCACTGCTTGTCTGTAAGTACCGTCATAGTTTATACCTCTGTTCGTATGGATGTATCTATCCGGTCGACCCCCACTGCGGCTCTGGTATAAGCTAGTTATCGACTCTTGTTTAATTCAAGTATGGCCTGTGTGATTCTGCCTCACACCCCACTACTTGAATTACATCAAGGTCAAATTATCGGCTCTACCTTAGAATGACAGTCTTTGGTAGATTCATTAAGTTACCGATATTGCTTATTGCTTTCATTATTTATCTAATTACAGCAATATCACTCTGTCCGATTGAGATTGATTTAGATCGACCTTATATCTTATTTGACCCATCGTTTGCTAATCTAATACTGATCTAATATATACCTTAAACGATGAGTTATGTTTTATCGGTTGTTTTATACCAATCTTAATCGTGCATAACGTGCGGTTAAGGCATGTTGCGTCTCGAGTAGATCTATTGGTTAGCGAAAACCGTTCAAGCCTTGTATGTTATCTAGTCACTGTTGCAGTAGGGCAACTGTACTTAGATGGATACAGTTGTATAAATAGACTACCACGACAACTCAGTAAAGAGAGTTCAGATTTGCCATCTACCAGACAGGGCTTCGGCCAATGCTGGTGTCTTGTACTGTGTGTGCATGCTCTGTTCTCCCTTCTTCTTCTAGTTCTAGCCATAGTGTGTGGGGACGGACAACGCTTGTTCATGGTCGGTACGGCTAGTGGGTGCTCGGCAACACTAGCAGGTGCTCGGTAAAACTGATGAGTGGTTCACTCACCTGAGCCGGTGATCCTGCGAGCCAACAAAGATGACAAACAAATGGATATCTATATCAATTACAAGCGCTAGAAGTGTAATGCTACTGTTCAGGTATTCAGGTGTCGAACATGTTCAAGTTGTCGGGTAAATAAATTCAGAATTGCAAGCTGTCATCCACTGATCAAAATGTTTTCTTCTTCTTTTTGTTTGATACACGCGCTGAAACTCATCCATGGTTGCTGGACTCATGTGTCTCACAGACAACACCACAAGTCCACAACAGAAAGGCTGTGGCTACTACCACCAGACCTCGCATGAAAACAAAGAACCCTCCCCAGGACAAGGAAAGCGAAATCATTACGAATCCACCGTGAAACCACCAAGAGTACTAAAGACCTTGCCTAAACTGTCTATCATTGGCAAAGCAGTAATGAACTGGCCATTGGTTGAAAACAACAAAGCTTTATGACGCGCATACAGAACAAGAAGACATGTGACCGGTGACCCCTCTCCTTACACCAACAAGGCAGCAAGTAGGGCACGCGCAAGCTGTAGACATTTGCTCAATAACGGAAACTGGAAAAGTACTTAGATACCTAGAAAATAATCAAAGAAAATCGGACAGCTAATACTTCTGCGAAGGAAAAGGCTGCGCGCTCCTTCGGAATCGGAAGCTAGCTAGTATGCGAGAATCGCACGGTACACCAAGCAGATAAACACTGCTATATACCAGATCCACGCGAACAGAAAATGGTAACTTCTGCAAAATTACCGTGCGGCCAAAACACTGAAATAGAAGGCCGAAAAGAAAGAAATCGCAGCTAATACGAGCAAAGTGAGTCTCATCCCGGCACATGATTGTAGGGAGAGAAATGGAAAGCACCTAGCGTCAGAGATCATGTACAAAGATCAAAACAATATCGACAGATCCCGAGCAATCGGACGCCGCAAAGTGCAAAAGTAGGAGAAGATGGAAGGAGAAGATGAAGAAGGGTGGGATGGAGCTCACGTCATAATGGCAGATGTCGTTGTCGGCCACCTGCACGACGAAATGGTTCGCGCGAACGAGGAGCTTCCTTCCCAACGTGCCGAACCCGGGCCGCGAAGGTGGACTGATCCCCTGCTCGAGAGGGGCGGAGGCTGGTGCGCAAGACCTTGCGCCGCCTCGGATCTACCTGCAGCAGGCGCGGGAGGAGCCGGGTCGTCCGCCACGGCCAACCTCCCCATGCCTGCCGCCAAGGCAGCTCCAGGTCCAGCCGCCCCGGCGGGTGCTCGCAGCGCTTGCGCCGGCGCAGAAGACGAGGCCGCTGCTGGAAATGCCGGGGCAGCGACCGGCGCTAGAGGGCGAGGCGCGGCGGGGCGGGCTGGTATCGCCACGCCGACGCTGCCCTCTACGTTCCCGATCGGTGGCGGCGGCTGCTGGTAGCTGACGCCACCTCGGCCTCCGGGTCCGCGGCCTCCCTCGTCGCCGCAACCGCCGATCCCGATCCCGCGCCCTCGGCCCAGGCCACCGCCTCGGCCTCCGGTTTCGTCGCCGCGACCGTAGGGTGGAGGGTAACCTCCGCCGCCACCGACGCGGCCACCGATCCCGCGCCCCCTGCCCTCGCCGCCCCGCCCACCACCAGAGCCTTGCCCTCCGCGGCCACCGCGCCCACGCGAAGCCATGGTGGGAGGATTGGGGTTTTGCAAGGTGGAAGGCGAAGTGGAAGTAAAGAAGTAACTGACTAGCAAGATGACTCGGGCGGCACGTTTTATAGCCAAGATGGGCACGCAGACGACCCGGCGGCTGCACGCCTGCACGCAGTTCTCCGGCCTGATCCTGTGGGGAGCGGACCTCTGGGCTATGCCGAAACTCACTGAATGTGGGGCCAGCCTGACGTGGGTCCCACTTGTCAATGAAGATAGAGTATACTTCTATGTACAACTAGCCTAGGCGCATAGTCCGGTCTAAAATCCACGACATTTTTCTTCTGGAAAAGAAACGTGAAACCACCGACTAAGTTTCCAAGTATAAATCCACGTAGTTTTGTGACCCTTGGATCCAAATCTAACCATTGATATTTCATCTAAACCATAATCCCTCAAGCACCATCACCCCGCACGCCATCGCCGCCGCTTAGGGATAAAATGGATGGAAACGGGTGGAAAAACTCATCTGCCGTTTCCATTTCTATATTTTTAGAAACAGGATCGGATACGGGAAAAAACAAAACTAAAATGGATGGGGATGTATGGAAACTGACAAATATGGACGGAGAGTTGGAAAATTAAGTTAGAATAACATGATCAAATATTCTCGAGTATACATGAAAAAAGTCACAACATAATATACACGTACGAAGTTATTGGTCCAATATTCACTGGCATGCCATCTTTTAACATGTTTACATGCATAATTAGTGATTAGTAGGTTTATGGACATATCAATTTCTGGATATATCTTACATAGATTGAAAACGGGATGAAAAACGGAACAAATACGGGTCATTTCTGGATGAAAAAGGGATCGAGCGGAAACGGGTGGGAAAGCCCATCTCTTGTTTACGTATTTGATACGGAAAAGGGTGGAATAAAGTAGAAAATGGAACACGTCCGGTTTCAACCTTAGATGTGGTGTATGTGCGGGCAGCCACTCTTTCTGACGCCGAGCATTGTCCATTGTACGAGTCGCAGCAGCTTGGTTGCGGCAGCACTGTCCTGTTGTACAGTAGGGAGCATCTACCGAAAAGGGCGCTGATCATGAAACAGTCCTGGCCTGTGTGAAATGCATATATACTCAAAAGTACTCTTGTGGGTGCCCTTCTCCAAGTATCTTTTGTTTTGTTTATTTTGTTAGGAAAGCATCTTTAGTGTTTGACGGTGGTAAACCAGATCGTGGACTCTTGATTTCCATCGGTTTCCTGCTTGCACTGCCGAATATGACACCATGCATAGAGTAGCTTTACTCTTCTGCGAAGGAAAGCATATCAGATATCATTATATTATATTCTCAGTATGCCATATCAGTCGTCATCACTAAAGACACAGCAACAACAAGGAAACCAAAGCATCCTATTCGTTGCTTCGCTAGTGTTATTTTTGCATATTCAGTGAAATAAAAGAAGATGCAATGCAATACATAATCTAAAAAATCAGGCTTCGTCTTCCTTTGTTCAAGGAAAGGACAGCATCATGTTCATTGCTTGTGTTATTTATTTATTTGTTCAAGGAAAGCAGAAGAATCGCAAAATCCCTTACAGGCCAAGCCAAGATCGGATTGGAGGTGCTGTACTTTGTTGTATTAAATTACTTGTTTTTGCAAGGTGATCGATGTTGTAGCTTTTGCTTTGTTCCGGTTGCCAACGCTAATTGTCTTGAGATTCCTAAGTTATCGTGTAAAGTAATGCAATATATTGTGCTAATCCAAAAGAAAAGGCATGTGCCATATCAAAAGAAAAAGAAAATAAAAGTAAAAGCTTGTCCAAATGAAAAACTAACAATCTCGGTTTGCTGCGCCTTTCAATCTGGGTTTAGGACGTGCAATGATAACCATCAACCGACGTGATAGTTTGGAAATTGCATGTAGACACAACACAACTCACAAACTCATCACATGCTCGGCTGCCGGACCGTATCGAGTTTGTCCGCCGGCGGCCCGGCAAGGCCATGCTGAGAGACTGAGGCAGGCATGGAGGAGGCTCCCGTGACCGTAGCCCCGGGGGCCTGTCGTAGACAAGCTGAGCGCTTTGCTGCGCCGCCGCGGTGAATACCAGCTTCGGTGGCGGACTCGGAAGGACGTGAAGCTCATCAGATCCAAGCTCAAGTCCATCCATTCGATTCTTTGGGTGATATAGGAGAGGGAGGATCGTGATACGGCAAGCAAGGAGCTGAGGATGGAAGCTTGGCGTCTCGCCGACGACATGAACGATGCCATCGACGACTTCATCCTCAGTATGAAGCGCAGCAACGACGGCAAGCGCTTCATCCAGGCCAAGATCCAGCCCAGTCCTTTCGAGGATCTGAAGAAAAGAGCCGTTGATGTGTCGGAGCGGTGCCGCAACAAGTGGAAGATGGAGACTGCCCACACCACCGTCTCGAACTTATCTTCAAGAACAAAATCCACTGTCGACTCATGTCCTGCCAAGCGGCATCGAGTCGTTGATCCCTATGTCCACAAGGACATCTCAGAGCTCGTGTGGATGGTCAGACCGAGAGATAAGCTCATTAAACACCTAGTAGGAGAAGAGAAGAGCACACCGAAGATCAAAATGGCATCCATCATTGGAGCTGCCGGGGTGGGTAAAACAACACTTGCCCGCCTTGTGCATGAAGCGATTGAAGATAAGTTCCAAGCACAGGCTTTTGTGTCGATCACTTCATGTCATAATATGACGGAGGTTCTGGCCAGCATTCTCCAATAAGTGACATCTGATAGCACTGATATGCTACTTGCTGGCACCAAAGCAGCGACCAAGAATAAACACCTCATCGACATCATATCGAGTTTCCTCAAGGATAAAAGGTGAGCATGTTCACATCTTCACTCCAATATCTACATTTCATATATAGGGTATATGTACTATCTTGCCATAACTAACTTAAGGTCCGACGGAGCCACCATGTCAATTTTTGCATGTGGTAGAAAAAAAAATACTAGAAATAATCACTAAAATTACAAGCATGCAACAATCAATTTGGTAGACTATGATCAATATAGCCAGTAAATCTGTTAAGGTTTCTAAAAAATATTCAGATTTGCCAATATGAAAAATAATATAAACCATAAATCCACATGTAAATTACACACATATACCATTAAAAAAATAATCTCAGCCAAACTAGTAAATTTGCATATAAATTACACACATGTGCCATATGGAAGATAATCAAGTAATCCAAAAATTGCTTCTAAATTACCTAATTTTGCCATTAAATTATAATAATAATTTAATTAAGCAATGACACATATACTATTATAAGAATAAACTAAAATATCCTCCACATCTAGTATGACATCATGACACATAGGCAATAAGATCTTATATAAGATAATCTAAGGCTTCAACTATAAATACCTATTGCAGGCACGCAGAGGTACAATGCAAAAAAAAAATTAACTATGACTATGGTTGGAAACCATACAGAGCAATTTGTAAAATGATCACAAACGGATAGAGCATATTATCCATATGGGTATTATGATAGACAATACTAATATGTAGGAGAGAGTACAAAGATAAGCAATTTTGATTTATAGTAGATGCTAAAGTTATCCATAACTTTCTAATACTTATGTGTCAAAATAGATTATTTCTAGTCCATGTAGGAGCACGAAGTGAAGGTCTAATAGTACATATAAGAAAAGACTAAAATACTAGGATAACGTTATCGTACTAAAGTCATGCTTCTTTTTGCTATAGATGGCCAAATGGCGCATAGTCCGGTCTAAAATCCACGAGATTTTTCTTCTGGAAAAAGAAACGTGAAACCACCAACTAAGTTTCCAAGTATAAATCCACGTAGTTTTGTGACCCTTGGATCCAAATCTAACCATTGATATTTCATCTAAACCCTAATCCCTCAATCACCCTCACCCCGCACGCCACCGCCGCCGCTTAGTGATCAAAACGGATGGAAACGGGTGGAAAAACTCCTCTCCCGTTTTCGTTTCTATATTTTTAGAAACAGGATCGGATACGAAAAAAAAAACAAAACTAAAACGGATAGGGATGTACGGAAACTGACAAATATGGATGGAGGGTTGAAAAATTAAGTTAGAATAACATGATCAAATATTCTTGGGTATACACGAAAAAAGTCACAACATAATATACACGTACGAAGTTATTGGTCCAATATTCACTGGCATGCCGTTTTTTAACATGTTTACATGCATAATTGGTGATTAGTAGGTTAATGAACATATCAATTTTTAGACATATCTCACATAGATTGAAAAACGGAACGAAAAACGGAACAAATATGGGTCAATTCTGGATGAAAACGGGATTCCGCGGAAACGGGCGGGAAAACCCATCTCTTGTTTACGTATTTGATACGGAACCCCCGGGTGGAACAAAGTAGAAAATGGAACACGTCCGGTTTCAACCTTAGATGTGGTGTATGTGCGGGCAGCTACTCTTTCTGACGCCGAGCATTGTCCATTGTACGAGTCGCAGCAGCCAAGCCACCTCTCAGTCAAATGATCTCATCCAGTCACCCCGCGGCAGGCTGGTTGCGGCAGCACTGTCCTGTTGGACAGTAGGGAGTAGTACTACGTATTATACTAGTACTATTAGTGTATTATACAGTAGGGAGTTGTACAGTATGTCACTGTATATAAAACGTAGATTTTTTTTTCAAATTCTTTGTCACCACACTACGATCGTGAATAATAGAGAACTTTAGCCCAATGTCACTGTGTATAAAACTTTAGTCCTTGTCATGTCCTTGATCACACTCACAACTTTATAATTAGCTCATGTCTATTCTTTAAATTTAGTTGAATAATTTTATTTCTTAAACTAGTACTTATTAAGTAATTATTAACTTGTGAGGAATGAGGTGATAATGCATCAACCCATTCAATTCCACAAACCAAACAAAAAAGTATAGAGTGAGAAGATAATGGATTAGCGCATTCCTCAAAATCAAACACCTTAGTGGTCCAAGACAGAATTATAAACGGGTCCTTACTACTACTAGGGAGCTGAACACGTAATTTGAAAGTATCGACTTGGATGAGAACTCGAGACAGTTCAGAGAGCTGAATGTAGCATGGCAAGTTCGAGAACTAGTAATAAAATTTACTCTAAAAAAATATTCTAGCTTGGGTGAGACAAATAGCCCAATCCAATAAAAAAATATTAACGATCTAGCTTTAATAAAATACTAGCAAATGTTAGGATAATAGGCAATTTCCATGTCATTTTAATTCCATAAATCAACAGCATGATGATAACATATAAACAATTATTAATCATTGTAATCATGATATCGATTATATCCATGGTGAAAATACATGCTAGATCATATATCATGTGAAACTTATAAAGATCAAAAGCATGAGAACTTGATTCATGAATAACAGAGAGAAACAGATGGCATGATATACATCTCATATCTGCAACAAGCATAAAGCTATATACGGTACAACAGAACTGTAAGAAGGAAACACATATGCAGAGCATATTTCTAGCATGAACAGACATAAGCATATTTCTAGCATGAACAGATATAAGATATGAAGCAAACTGATGAACTGCTGAAACATGTAGAACATAAAACAGAAAGATGATGAAACAATCATACCCTCCCATCCGCGATTCTGAAGTTCCAGCAACGTCCCTTGTCATGCCGTAGAAGAAGAAGGTGTTTCCTCCTCCAGGAAGAAGATGGTGACGCCGGCGATCGGGAAGAAGACGACGTAGGCGTACGGAGACGGAGACTCTTCGGGCAGTCGCGTAGACGCTCCCCAAAAACCTAATTGCCGATCCCCCGAGCAAGGTCTCGAACGACAAGGGCTTCGGAGGCACCTGCCCTCTCGCTTCTCCGTGCGCGCAGAGTTACGAGATGAGGAAGGCCATCAAGCAACTGAACCGTATCTCTGGATGAGTACTCTCTCTTTAACTGGAGTTGGAAGATTAACAGGAAAAGCCGAGAGGTCCCGGAGGAATGCGCCGGGACGGGAAGGTGGAGAGACTCCGGGAGATCAGGAGTCAGACTGGCTTCAAGTTGAAACTCCCGTGGTTAGTGGGAATTAAAAAGATAACACGCCACGCCCGCCCGCCCGCCTCGCCACGCCACGCCACGCCCCGCCCCGCCCCGGCCCGAGCCCGTGCCCGTGCCCGGCCCGGCCGGCGGCGGCGGCGGCGCGCGCGCACGCGCGTGTGGCACGCCTTTGTCCGTTTCTCAACCTCTCAAATTAGACGGATCAATTCCAATCATTTAAGTTGAGTCAACGTCCTTTTAACTTCCAATCCGGTACAAATAGTAATACCCACAATTACAAGCCATAGAGTTATTGATTTATTAAATTTATAAATGGGCCTAGCCCATAATAAATCCAACAGCAAAACATGTCCGTACGTTGCAACAGAACATATAACTCAGTGGTCATATAGACAATTTATGTTGTGAAAATTTATTCAATGGTCACGTCATCTATTCCAATGCACATTGAAATTGGACTTCATACCACTGTTGGGTGCACACTCTTGTAACTCGTATGAGCATGAGCCATGACTTCGGATCACATACGAGATAGAGATGGACAAAAACGTATTGTGGGAAATATAAAAGTATGGGCAGAAGAATCCATTCTCTTCAGGACATGATCGTGCGCTGCATTGGCTGTCATTTGTTGCAAGACGTCTTGGAATCAGACTTTGTACTGTGATTAGACGTGCTCTATTATAACTCGTATAAGCACGGGGCGTGAGTTCGCTTTAACGGACAGGAGAGTAAGCCAATCAGGACTAATCCCTAATTCATCATGGACTATATATACTACTCTTATAGTAAAACTGACCCTGATTCATTGTGGACTATATATACTACTCTTATCTTGTAGTAAAACTGGCCAAAACTCTTATGCTTAGGTGAGCAGAGGGACTGACAAATCGGGGGAGATAATGAAGAATGAAAATTTGATAAACATGCTCATATGTTGCAGCTGAACGTACAACTTGCTATGTGGTCTCTTGAACAATTAGTGGCTTAAAGATAGATAGATAGATAGACTCTGATATACTGATAGATCACTGGTAGATAGATAAATAGATAGATAGATAGATAGACTGATAGATTATAATCTTTGTGTATCTATTTCTTTACATATACAAGATTTGGCATGCACTTTAAAAGTGTTCTCAGCCCAACTTTAAATATATATTTTTCTATAGACATCCTAAAGTGTCTATTTGTTTGAGTTGTAGCTTTTGGCTTAAAGATAAGTTGGTTTCTGGCTGTTGGATTTTTTATTGACTTTTTTAATATATATTTTTTTGTTTCTCAACGCACCAAATCACGCCAAAAGCAAAAAAAGCTCCCAAAACTGTTTTTCAGCTTTTGGTTCAATTTCTCAAAAGCTAGCTTTCCATGTTTTCAAAAGGTAGCTCAACAGCTAAGGTGGTTTAGGCCCTGTTCTTTTCTTCAGTCATAGGACTAGAGACAAACAGAAACTAAACTTTAGTCTCCAACCCTGTTTGGTTCCAGAGACTTTTTTTCTAAACAATTTGGTTCCAGGGACTAGAGGGGACTAAAGAGCATTAAAGCTGCTAAACAAAGACTAAAATACCCTTGAGGGGGGTGGGGGGACCGGGAGGGGTGGGGACCGGTGAGGGGTATTGGGTGTCAATTTGGCCTCGTAAGCCCCAATAAGCCTCGGCCCAAGGGACTTACGTCTTTTCGTCTCTAGTCC